AAAGAGCACAGGAACAGTTGGAAAAATCAAGAGATGAATGATGTGATAGTGAAGAAGGTTACATTTGGACCTGTTATTCACACTGCACCTCCTGGGTCTCTGGAAAATGTAAGAAGCAGACAAGAAAGTTAGATGAGGCAAGACAGCAAGAAGTATATAAGGCTAGGTTTGTTCACAAGCACTTCCACAAAAGAAACAGCCATAGGACTATCCACTCCGCCCCCACATCTGCTTCCAATTTTATAGTCTTCTGTGTCTTTGATGAAAATCCAATTTTTCCCAAAAGGAATGGCAGCAAAGTTGAGTAAAGAAAGGTCTATTGATAAATCAAATGCATCTTTTACAGAGCATGATGCCTGGGAGGTGCGGAGAGGGAGAGGAGGGTTCCTCATAACGTTGTGCTGCCTCTCTAAAGCTCTCTTTACATGTCATCGCTTCCTAACCTAAGAGGCACCATTTATTTAGAGCACGACTGAACTAGCGGCTCCGAGCTATATCTTTTTTTTTTTTTTTTTTTTTGTCCCAGTCTCCCATGGCATCTCAGACACTCGCCTCCATCTAAGCAGGATGCAGTCTGGGATTTTTCTTTAGTGCAGTTTTAAACAACATGAGGCAGCAGCACGCTTTGAAATCCACTTGACACCAGCATGTCCTTTCGACACCCTCTCCAAAGAGGGCGGAATACAAAGAATAGCACTTCATCAATAAATAGTGCTTATTTCATCATGTTTCTTTCATACAGATGCCCAAGAAAATTCTTTATCGTACACGGAGCTCTCCACTCAAGACAGTCCTCACGGTCACGTCAGCCCTACCTGTGGACCAGCTCTTGTTCCACCTGCTTGCATTAAACTCTTGGCTCTTTCAAAGTTAACAGGAAAATTGCCACTGTAATTAATAGAGACAAGACACACTGGTCCTGTTTCAAAGCACTGAAAATAGTTGAAGTCTTGCCTGTCATCAACCCACTATTTTCTTCTCTTCAACCGCGCTGTCAGAAACGGTCATCAGGCCAGACAAGACAGAGCAGACAAGAGCGATGCTGCAGACACAGAGCTTTCCAGGGAGACATCCAACACAGCCAGGCCAGGAATCTGACTGGTAAAAGGACACAAAATCCCACTGAAGTCGGAGGAACTGTGCTCATTAATGTCAAGGCTTAATTTCACCCATTAAAAGGTAAACTGTCGGCTAAGCTATGGTCTGTGAACTCTTGTGGGATTTCCTGCCTTCTTAAGTTACACACTACCAGTTTACCTATGAGTTCTAAACGCATGAACTTAAAATAAAAGGCATTTACACAGCCCCAGAACAGACTATCTACATTACATATTGCCTACACAGAGTGAAAAAAAGAAAAAAAAAAGTTTTTAGTGTAAAAGTACATGCATCCTTCTAAAAAACTAGGTGAAGAAAAGGCACAGTAATCTTTGATGAGATCAGAAGACCAGGGAAACTGTAGGGCAGAGGTCTCAGTGGTGATCTGGCCTTTTTTTTGCAAAGTCAGTCTACTGAGATTGTAGAATTTAACTTGCTGTATAAAAGAGAGAAAAATACCCGAACAGCCCAATATCTTTCTTTTTTTGAAGCCAAGACAAAGCCATTAATGTTGCAATACTACTGCTGATTTACTTAGCATAATTTCTTATTTGAGCACCTGTCTGGGGGTAAGTGGAAGCCTTGGGACTGGATAATCCACTCAATGATCTTTAATCAGACAATAATACTAGGTGTTAATAGCCCCGATAAAGGGGCTGTTTAACCCAACTGTTAACACAGAGGCATGTCTGCCACAATGACTATTTCAACAATGCATTTGCCAGTGATATTAATTAAAACTAATTCCTTGCAGGCCACAGAAAGCACAGAGCAAACCCACATGGAAAAAGGAATGCCTATATTTTGTCATGACAAATCATATTAAAGAAAAAAAAATCCAAATTATCCCAAGGCAGTGAAATGTGTCTGAAAATACAGTCTATTGGAAAGTTTGGAATTGTAAGATCACAGCAAAGCTAAAAGGTCTTTAATATAATCTTTGAAATGTGTAACTTTATGTCAGTGCCTTTGGCCTGTGACTTCACATTAGTTATTAAAATCTCCCAATAAGCCATACAGACATTAAAAATTGAACCTTGTTAGAGGTTCTGATGTGCCAATTATTTACACGCCATTCAGCTTACTGCCTAAGATCAGAGTAAACTAAGCAAAGCAGCATAGTTGATAAATCTCCTACAGAGGTTAAGAAGATTTTCCCTTTTCTCTCTCTCTCTCTAAAGAATTTAAATGAATTTCACTTATATATGTTCATCAGACCATACACAGGGAAACTCTTAACCAGCTGCATATACCTTTCAGGCATGCAGTGTCTACACATTCAGCTGGAAAGTCTTAGTTAAACCCATATCACCAATAAGGGGTTATACTACAAAAGTATTTGGCTTTCAAAAGTTCATAATACACTAAAAGGGAAAAGACATTTTATATTTTACTTGAGTATACAAATGAGCACTCACATAAGTTTTGGTTAAGAAGTAACATAGATCCAAGTTAACTCTTCCCTTCACTGCCTTCTGGAGCTTGCAAGTGGAGAGAAAGTCATCATGCACCAAAATGAAATGATAAAACATGGGAAGGTAGATTCTAAAGATACACTCTGACGTGACAGCACAGACCCTTGTGCCAAGACCTGAGAAGTCAGAATCTGGAAGAGGAATACAAAAGCAAGTGCTATGAAATAAGTATGCTCCAGTAATCTGGGTAACACTCAAATACTTATTTGGTAAAATGTGAGCTTTGAATGCACTTTCAAAGGCTGATTTGTTATAGTTTTCTTGCCAGAAGGACACTTGCAATGTGTATCTATCTCCAGAATGGGGAGAAATAAAAAAAGTCATATTGTAACTATTAACACATACTCACCCACCTCATATTCTAACTATTAACACATACTCACGCATCTCACTAGGAAATCGAGATAGGAAGTAACTGAAACTTTTGGTGAGGATGATGCAGCTAGTAATGTACCTGGAGCTGCATTCACTTTGACCAAACTAAACCTGACTCCTAGTAGTTAGTTAGGAATGTGGGAAATCTTTCCTTTGAAAGATTTTTGCAGATCTTTAGCATTATCTTAATGCAGTTTTGTTAAGTGAATTATTTATTAACTTGATACTCCCATTGATCAGCACACGGAACTCCCACCAAAGTCAATTGGACTTTTGAGTGCAAATCAATAGCAGCATTTAAAGGGATATTCTCCCCCTGATGCACTCAGGAAGCTCCCATTGAAAAGTAATGGGAAGTACACAAGAAATTCTCTTGCTAAAAAAAAAAAAAAAAAAACCATACAAAATAAAGATATCATCTTAGCTTTTTTTTTTTTTTAATATATATAATATGCATTGCTGAGAGTTAACCTGACCTCCAGTTAAGCTTTATCACAGAATATAATCAGCTCTCAGATTGAGTAACTATTCTGGGACTATAGCACCTTAAAAAAAAAAAAAACAACAACAACAAACCACAAGGTGTCCATATAGAAGGTTTGAAGACCTTTTCTTGTTTTTATTTTATTTTTTTTTAATAGAACAGTTTATCTCATAATATCTATGTCAGTTAGTTGACCCATATAGATACGTCCTAAGTCTAGTTTGGCACAATTTTGAACTTTCATTATCAGAAAGGCAAGCTTCGCTGTTTTATTAAGGTTTACAAACCAATTACATCCTGCTTCTTAGTAAATTTATGGTCCGACATTCAACGGTGTGTAAATTTGTATATAGAATTATGCTATCCAGGCCCTGGATTGAGTAACTTAATTATTTTGTAGGTAAATTCATTTCATCTTCGATTTTTTTCCTCCCACAAAATTCACTGAAGGCACTGGCATTAAGCATTAACAGACTCTTGGTATTTGTCAAAAAGGTCGTCCAAGTGTTGATCCCTTCTGGAAGTAAACTTCTGTTAGCAATGCTGTCGCCATTCATTAAAAAGAAATAGCATCTCAGAAACTGTAAAAGCATCCCAATTTTCCAGAATACAAGAACAGTCAAACCATCTTGTGCTTTTATTCTTAATGCCAACACAACGCTTGTAAACCATGACTGGATCCGACTGCCACAAATTCCCTTTTTTTTTCTTTTCCTTTCTCTGTGGCACAGAGCACAGTCTGTCATTCAAGATCACCTGGAGAATTTTATTAAGCTCTGGCTACTGAAGAAATCAGTGATGCCTTAATCTCTCTTGATCTTCCATGGTTCATTATACTTAGGTTATTTACTATTGATCCTAAGCTTTCCATAACACTTGCAAACTGTCTCTCTAATCAGAGAGTAGAGATTCCTGGCTTCCTGGTATTCCTAGCTCCATTTCATCTTACCAGGTGAATAACTTGGGACTGTATTTCATTTATGAGAACCACAAGACATGGCAGGTGTAGAAATGGTTCAGTATTTACCAGATGAGATGCTAAAGAATATACCATAGATGAAGATATTCTAGCTTCAGAGGGTTTTATCCCCAGCTCAAAACAAAAAACTTCCTCAAAGTCAAGTTTCTCCTTTTTCTTACTCTATTCTAGTACATGGGATAGGCTTCTTGCCTTAACAATTGGCAACAACACAAATTACACTTTGAATTAGTCTACATAAATCCCTCTTGCTCTAAGGCTTATCATCCTTTGATGGCTATCTGATAATAGATTACTTTGGATCTCGCCAAATTCCACTGTGAGTTTCTGGACTTTCATCCTTCTGTGCTAAAGGAGTCCTGAAAGTTCAGCAGGCCACAAAGGCAAGAGGCTTATGGCCAACCACGATGACATTGTATTAACCACTTTCAGGTGACAACTTGACAAATTAATCATATTAATACCTTAAGTCACCTTTTTTTTTTTTTTTTTTTTTTTTTTTGGAGGGGGCTTTGGAGGTAGTTGGTTCCACTTCCAGGAAGCCTCAATACTTAACTTAAATCAATGTATTCCTCCTGGAATACAAAATCTAAGACAACATAAGATGTTCCTACTTTATTACTGCACTTCTGTAGAAGCTTCTGCTTTTCTAGACAAAAATCAGACTCTACTACTTTACCTGATGGAAGTGATAGATTCATGATCCATACGCAAACATGCTCCTGGGAACTGCAAGTGAAACAGGAACAGAAACCACTCAAGAACATAGAGGCAAAGAGACAGCAGTTTATACATTTTATTGTATGCTTTAGCTATAATCTTACGAATTTAAATTCTACCTGCCCCTTTGTTTGCTAAGTGTTTTTCATAACTTTGGATACTTTTGTGTGAAGATTGGAACTACAAACACACAAAAACCTTGTTGAAAGCTGCCTTTTTTTTTTTTTTTTTTTTAAGAATAAATTAGGAAATGCATTGTTTTCATTTTGCCATCCTAAACAATACATACACATACAATACATATAGTTAAATGTCTTGGAATCTTAGCACAATTCACCTCTATCACCTGCCCTCCATCATTATCTTCATTATCTCTCATTACTTATTTTGCTGAAAAATAAAAATAAAACATCTACTGATATATCTTAACAAATAAAAAATATTGAATATAAGAATTATCCCATGCACAGTAAGTCAAGTTTTTGATTTTGATTCTGTAATTTTGAATCATATGGTATCACATCAGAGGCCATTATTATTGAAGTTTTTTTTATCCTTAACTGTGGCAGTAATTCTGAAATTCTAAATAACATACTATGAAAAATCAGGTCAAAATTGCCTTCCAGATTATGATGGCAGATATATTCCCCATAATATAATGATAAAAAAATGACATCACTGATTTTATTGTAAGAAAAGTGCAAATAAGAACACATAAGATCATCCGCACATAAATGCAGTTGCCCCTGAGTTTTATTTGTCTTTTTTTTCTTTTTCGTTCTTAGATTCTTTCACAAGACCTTGCAAGAACAGTGTTTTTGTTTTGCCGCTCCCTTTGGTTTTACTTCATAACTGCCTTATACAAAGTGATATTTGTATGCCAGCAAGTTATATGTTTTTGGAATAGTCACCCAGACCTGACAAGTACTGTAGTGCATCCCTTTTGAAAATTGCCCAAGGTGGGGTTATTTTGTCTGCTTTGACAAATTGTATATGCACTATCCACATTACGCTGTCACATCTACCTTAGGTTCATCAGTATCTTATTACTGATGCTGCTGTTTTTAAGTCTAAATACAGTAAGGAGAAAGCAAACAAGCATACAAACAAACCTATCTTTAGTAATAATTTCAAAAACAAAGGTCCAGATAATGACACTGTGTAATAGCCCTGAGTGATCTTTTTTTTAAATAGTTCTCTTCTCATTCTTCTGAGAAAAGGGGAGCATTGTAGAGGTGCTAACAGATCATGATTTGGCAGAAGTGCAGTTCTCAGTTAAACATACTCCCACTACAAGCTTGGCCAGAATAAAAAGAAAAATTGAGGACACCACAGAAGTGAATTAAAAAATCATGCACGCAGTCCCACCAACAACCAGGACAGTAGCAGCTTATAAGATCAGCTCAATTTGGCAGGATGCCCATCGCAGCACGACCTAGCAGGGCCATGGTAGGAGGACTGTCTTATGACTTGCATAGAGGACGGGGGCGGGAGGGCACAAATGGTAGCAAAATAAATATCATTTAAGCCTATGTTGAATTAATTTGTTTTACAAAATGCAGAGAACAAGCTTTAAAAGGTTTATAACAAGTTTGTCCTTAATGTATCTTTGGCTGTATATGGATGTTCTCCCTGCATCGCCTGTGCTACTGGGAGAAATTTCTATGGCAGCCCCCCTTTTCTGCTGGGGGGTAATGACCCCCAAATCTTCCCGAGCTGCTCATGTGTGTTCTCCAAACGAGTCCATAGTTCCAGGACTGCCTAATCCCATCTAAGCTGGGGATGCTGCAGCCCCAGCATCCCCAGCTGCTGGCCCTTCCCGTGCCAGCCAGGAGGCTTGTCTGCTCCCATGCTGAACTGGCTCAGGAAGCGCACAACACCACAACAGCAGCAGCAACAACAACAATAACACTAATGCTTTCCTGCTCACTTGGTTGCGGTTGCCCACTCGGTGAGATGTACCTGGGTGTAGGGCGGCGCTCATCTCCTCCTCCTGTGGACGTGGCCTCATGTGATCTACGGAGCCTACAAGGAGTTCCTGTGGAAGAAAAGGAAAAAGAGTTTGCTTCTAAGAGCGAGCTTGGAGAAAGTCAAACTTCCGAGTGACCAGGACACTCTGTGAAGGTGTGACAGGCTGCCAGGATGTGACAGGTGATTTGAACATGAAGAAATGCCAAAGACAGAAGCTGGTAAAGGGCCCTGTCAAATCCTTCTAGATTGGAACTTGGAACCTTCTCCCCTTCTCCTCCTCCGTAAAAGTGGTCTAATTCAGAGCCAAATCTTGAGAAGGCAAAATTAAGGATACCCAAATAACACCCCACAAGTTACAGCTCATGTCTTTGCTCAAGACCTGGGTTTAACTGCAGCTCTTCTACAGATTTCCTTCAGGATTTTTCACAGGTATTTAGTTCTTTCAGCCTCAGATACATCTGCAAAGAGTAAAACCAGCAATGTATCATAATACAGTAAAAAAAATGGAGATGGTCAGACTGCAGAGTGATAAAATGATAAAATAATAAAATGATAAAATTAGACAAAGTGTTTGAGTCAGGGAAAAAAATGCAAAGGAATAAGAAAGACTGAATTAAGTGGGAAAAGTACTTCAGTTTAGGAAGAAACATATGTAAAACAAAACAAACCACCAAAACAGTAATGTTAGAAAAGATCCTGAATTGACTTTTTAGAAACCAAATCTGGTACTGGGAGGCAAGGGCATATGTATGGGTCCCCAAAGTGTGACATTTCATTGACAGCAGCACATGGTCTAGCTGTTAAGTGATCTGGTTTGGGAAAGGAGCGGGAGTGGCACTGCTCAGGTTTTGAACTGTGTAAGGCAGGAAAGTATTTTAATAGTCTACAATGGTTGCTGGGCAGGGGGAAAAAACAGAAAACATACTGGGAAAACAGGAAAAGGGAGCGAGAACATTGTCGTCTGGAATAAATACAGTTAAGCAGAAAGTCTAGCCTACATGAGCACAAACTCTTTACTAGAATAAAGGTCCTAGAATTATTATTATCATTATTTTTAATAAAAGTCATTTTTTATTGCCAACTATGTTACTGTCAGATGTCAGTTGATGCAGTAAATGCCTTTGGGTTAAGACCACTGCTCTGCTGAGTGGGTAAGCAATTACCCAGCACAGAAGCACCCCCTCCATGTGCTTCATTTGTAACACAATGGAGATGCATAAGCCCCATGGTAAAGGGGGTGCTCTGAGTTGTACTGACATTAAACCCAAGAAGGTTGTCCGACTGCTCAGAAAGCTTCCACCCTCCAAAAGGGTGTATCAAGCTCTGCTTTCTCGCTGATTCTCAAGAGAAACATAACCATCAAAGCCTCCTCTGCCAATGGCAAACATATTTTCATTCTTTTCCCTTACATCAGAGCTTCTGAATCACTCGTAATAATTGGCAAGGGCTATTCATACCAAACAGGGATGTTCTCACACACTATGATGATAAAGCATTTCACCCATTTAAAAGACAAAAAAAAAAAAAACCCCACTACCCACAGAACTGCACCATCACATCATCTGGGCTTTGCTGAATGTTCGCAGAACAACACTGGAAGTCATTGAAGTGTCAGATAGTGATTTCATCATGTGTCAGGCCTCCCACTAATAAATGATTCATCTCCCTCAGTACTGAGACCTCAAAGAATTAAGGAGAAGAAAGAAATTCATAAACTTTAAAGTGAAAAGTACTCTGCTGATACTTCCCAAGCAAACAGAAGCTTATGGACACACTACAAATGTGCTCAGAATTTAACCTTTCATTTATGCGAAATGTACTTTCAACTTTAAAAAGCAAATCTATTGAGAGGAGGAAAAAAAAGTGGTGTGGAATGGAATTCCATAATACATGGAATTCCTCAGGTATTATGTCACCATAATTTTCAGAAGTTTTTTGCTCAATTTGTATATTTGTAATATACAAATATGAGATTTACCTCTGTATCCAGTTTTGTGAACTGAAACTGAATTTGGGAAATCTTTTCTAGTACTAAAAATTGTACTAAAAATTACCAGTATGTTGGTCCCAACTTTGAGTACTGATAGCAGTTGTAAAAGCAAATCCAGGTCCTGTTGAAGATGAGAGATCTACAATGGACTTTAACATAAATGGGACAGGAGGAAATCTGCAGTGGTAATAAACATAACCATTCTTTGCTGCTTCAAAAAGCCAGAACATCTTCCATTCATAAGAGCAGCTCTACAGAAGGAACAGGAGTGGCCAGAAATCCAAACTTACATCTCTCAGGAGGCATGAACTTAACTACAGATCAAAACTAGAAGAAGAACTTAGTAAGACACTAACATTTTTTTTCCCCTTAGTTTCCTAAGACAACAAAGTTTTTGTGCTCAAATACTATGTTTCCCTTAGTTCTTTCTTTTTCATTTTCAACCAAATCTAATAGACATACAGCGATCTTGGAATTCTCACATTCTTTGTACGTGTAAATAGCTAGGAGAAAACGAGATTGCAAAAGTTGCCCTAAGTGAAGAAAAATAAAGGCTAACTTGAATGAACTTCATAAAGCATTGAAGAAGCCACATGGGAGCGAGATTTTACAAATGACCCCACTGTAGGAAAACAGACAGTTGGAATTCGCTGCCAAAGCTGGAGACACCAACCTATGGAAAACTGGGCACTGTTGGTCCTGTCACTAGTGGAGTTCCCTCTGATACATACATACATATGTGTGTTTTTCTCATAAAAACAGCAACTATTGTAAACACAAAAGTGTAACCATTGGGCTCAAAGCAGGAAGGTCTATAAGGATACAGGATTGATCCCACTTGATTCTCCTACTTGAAGGAGAAAAGAATTAGAAGATGGATGACTTTGGACTTCACTTCCCACTCTTGGTGGAAATAATTAGGCTGGTCTGTTGACAGAAAAAAAGTCATAAGTCCCTGAGGTCTCACATCTTAAGCAAGTGCTTGTTTCTCTGGCTTATTCTGAACATGAATAGCATAGCTAACAATGTGATAAATGGAGCAGTTCAACCCAGCAATGTACAAAACAAATTATCTTTTGCTGGTCGCCTACGTTTGTTTCACTAGAATTAATTTGGGCATCCTGGGTAAAGATGATGTCCACTTTCTCCATCAGTTTGATTTAGCATGACCTCTTCACTGTCAGCAGGGGAATGTAATAGGCAGCAATGAACATTTGTATGTAGGAACATTTGCATGGCTGTGGGGCAGGATGACTGGATGATCAAAAAGAAAAGAAAATATGAAATACTTAAAACACTTTACCATGAAATCGCCTTCTCTACCTTTGCCCAGCACCCCCCTCCATGTTAAATCAGGTAGAAAAGTGTGATAATATTAAGGCTTAATCCAATTTAAATAAATTATTTTCTTGTAAATGTTAAAACAATCATTACATGCATCATTTACCCCCTCCTCTGCTCATAGTCTTAAATTATGTTCCATTATGTTGAGATGGAAAAAATATGCAGATATGTTTCTTAAACATCAGAAATTTTGCTGCTGATTATACTCTGAGGTAAAAGTCATTTAGAGGTCCTAGCAAAATAAATAAATAAATAAATAAATAAATAAATAAATAAATAGCATTATCGGTGTCTGTGTAGCAAACTGAATTAACAAATTTTTTTGCTAGGCTACCAACAATATTTCAACATTTTACTACAGACTTCAGGTGCAAGATTGTTATAACTCTCTGTTGTGCTTGGCAGCAAACAAAAAAAGCACACGAGCAATCTTGTTGTTACGATTCATTACAAACCTACAAATGAGTGATATATCAGCCCCTGTCCAAATCGCACAGCCATGCACTTGTAACCATTTCAGCATCCACAGTTGTTAAAAAGCGTGATTTGTGTCTACGGTAGCCTGCTCCCACCTCCCAGTCAAGGGTGGTTATGTTTATTCATAAATAGCTACCTCAAGCCAGAACTGTATGTATGTGTCAGTGTATTTTAGCAAAATCTGCCTCGTGTAACCAAAAATGCACATCTCTCCAGCTAGGTTTTTTTTTTTTTTTTTTTGAGGAAACAGAGCAGAAATGGGAAATGGTCTGGTTATTGATGGTCAGTGAATATTGTGATAATCACTCCACACAAGGGAGCAAGGCAACAATTCCTGCTCATCTCCCACATCCTCACTGCCCGTAACACATCCGCCACAGGGACGGGAGAGGAATCCCCTCCCCGTAGGCACCGTATATGGCCAGGGTGGTGACACTCGAGCCCTGGGCACTGCCACGTCCCTGGTTGCCAATGGGCCACGCAGTTGTCCTCTGCAGGGGCCCACACACATGGTCTATGGGCTAAGAGTTGTGCATTTTGTACCACAACTATGTGACACAGCAAGCTGCAGCGCATAGGAGGACGAGCGACGGGACATTGAGAGCTTACCTAAACTCTCCTAGATAGAGAGGTCTATCCCAAATTCTTCTGGCAGAAACCTCCATTCATCTAACAGGGTTAGTGGATCACAGCAGGGTGCCAAGTCTGGGCCTCCACCAAAGGTGAAACGCACACAGTGGCAGAAGAAAGAAAAAGCTCAGTGTATCCCCTTCAAGACTCAGACATGACACTAACCAGTAATTTCTGCTACAGCTATGCAGGACACACATCTGTAGACACCTATGTAGGCACCCATGCACATATTTCTTACATTTTTCTTTAAAGACAGATCCCAATTCTCCAGGCTTCTCACAGATCTCACACACAGGGTTTAAAAAAAAATAATCACGCTGTTCCTCTTTGCCCAGGACAGCGAAAGGCAGCTTGTTTTAACCTCACGGCTGCAGTTCATGCTTCTCCCTCAGAACATCTGCTTTCTCAGTTGCCCCAAGTCAGTGCTGTGAGTAAGTCTGAGTAACATCTGTCTCCCTGAGACAAATCAACCCACTGCAGCGCTGAGTGTGGAACTTGCCAGACAGCGTTACTGGTCACAGAGGGTATTCCAAACTTTGACTCACGGCTAAGTGTGTTCCCACGCTATTTCTTCATCCACACAATTCCCTAGACCTGAAATGTTTGCTAAGAAAGCTTGAGATTATTTGTGTTATGCTCCACACAGAGACTTCAACATACAAACATATAATTACACAATGACGAGATGATTCCAGTTCCAAAAGCCTTAAATTCTAAGCAAGATTATCTTGGTTTTAAAGTGAATCTGGAGTCATTTATGAGATGAGCCATCTCACGGCCCAGATAGGTAAAATGACATATTATGATATATTTTATGATTAGACAAACTACCAGACATGTTCTTACTGGAAAGGGATACCAGGGCTGTTGCCCACAACTTCCAATAGCTGCAGGCACACAGGTTACCCTGTCAACTGATGGGAGAAAGGCATAAGAACATCTGATGAGCAAGAATACTTCTAATATACAGGTAACACCAGCAGTTCAAAGACTTTTAATTTAATAAAGACAACTAACTGGGTACCTGTGCACTGTAGAGCTAGCTGAACTGCCCTGGGTAGGAGAGGCAGAGTTGGTTTCCTTT